TCATGCAGATATCAGAGCGCATATGAGTTGGGACAGCAAGGAGCCACTTCCGACCACCAGGCATGTAGTTACGGCGGTACAGAATGTTGTCTCGTAAGGAAAAGTGGGCTGCTTGCCGGCGTAGCGCTCTCGTGGAAGGGACATCAGATGGATCGGTAAGGTAGTCGACTAACAAGGCAAGGTGTGGGTCTTTACGCTGCTCCGAAAGCATGTCAGTCGTGTCGAGTGGTGACAAGGTGGTAAAAGGGGGAGACAGAGAAGCCACATCTGGTGTTAATGGCGATCGCGAAAGTGCATCGGCATCCGCATGCTTGCGACCGGAACGATATACGACACGGATGTCGTATTCTTGCAATCGAAGGGCCCAACGCCCCAGGCGTCCGGATGGGTCTTTCAAGGTGGACAGCCAACATAGAGCGTGGTGGTCTGTGACCACGTCGAAAGGACGGCCGTAAAGGTACGGGCGAAACTTCGTCAACGCCCAGATTATGGCCAAACACTCCTTCTCTGTCACGGAGTAATTCAATTCTGCCTTCTTGAGAGCGCGGCTTGCATAGGCGACTACGTATTCAGCTTGGGTGCCTTTCCGTTGTGCCAAAACTGCACCAAGACCGATGCCACTTGCATCGGTGTGAATTTCTGTGGCCGCAGCAGAGTCGAAGTGACGAAGAATAGGTGGTGAGGTCAGCAGGCGGCGCAGCTGGCGAAATGCGTCGTCACATGCAGGTGACCACGCAGATATGCCTTTGCTGTTGGAAAGCAGACTCGTGAGAGGTGCGATGATGGACGCGAAGTTGCGCACGAAGCGACGAAAGTAGGAGCAGAGACCGATGAAACTTCTTAGTGCTTTCAGTGATGTGGGCAACGGAAAGTCAGCGACAGCTCGAAGCTTATCGGGATCCGGAAGAACACCGTCTCTGGTGATGACATGTCCCAAGATGGTTAGTTTTCGTGCTGCGAAGTGGCACTTCTTGGAGTTAAGTTGTAGGCCTGCAGAAGTTAGACACGTCAGAATCTCGTGGAGGCGAGCAAGATGTGTCGGGAAATCAAATGAAAAGACTACGGGAAATCAAATGAAAAGACTACGATGTCGTCCAGGTAACATAAGCAGGTTTTCCACTTGTGGGCACGCAAGATGGTGTCGATCATGCGCTCAAATGTGGCAGGCGCGTTGCAGAGCCCAAATGGCATGACTTTGAACTCATATAGGCCATCCGGCGTTACAAAGGCTGTTTTAGGGCGATCACATTCAGCCATTGGCACCTGCCAATACCCACAACGCAGATCCAAAGATGTAAAGTACTCGGCGCCTTGTAAACAGTCAAGAGCATCGTCTATTCGTGGTAGCGGGTAGACATCTTTTTTCGTAATATTGTTTAAGCGGCGATAGTCCACGCAAAATCGTATGGTGCCATCTTTTTTCTTGACCAGAACCACAGGTGATGACCAAGCGCTTTGAGAAGGCTGTATGACTCCACGTTTAAGCATGTCATCTACTTGCTCCGTAATGACGTGGCGCTCTTCGGCGGAATTGCGGTAAGGACGCTGTCGCAGAGGCGAATGTGAGCCGGTGTCAATAGTATGAGCGATAGTGGTGGTGCGGCCCAAAGCAGGTTCTTGAAAGTCGAAAAAAGAACGAAACTTGTTAAGGAGAGCAACAAGTTGGCGGCGATGCGAGAGGGGAAGGTCTGCGTCAATAGCATTGTCGAAGGCTGACGAACTTGATGGCTCGGACGCATGAGTGATTGCAGCAATGTTACATGGCGTTTCGTCGGGAAGAATAATATCATCGATATGGTCGACAGGTTGCACATATCCTAACGTTTCACCACGAAGTAAGCCAATAGGGTAGTTGCAGTGGTTGGTGACCAGCATTACGGTTAAACCAGACGCAATTGTAAGGACAGCAAATGGGAGAACGATGCCCTTGCGTTCAGTAAAAACCGGAGATGGCGTAAACACCACCGTGCCGTCAGGTTGCTCCAGACATGAAAGGCTAATAGGGACCGAAGCTTCAGGAGGCAAAGTGATGTCGTCATCAGCGATGACTTTGCAGAGCAGAGGAGAGCGGTCGGGTGGTGGAAATTCACATGTTGGCACAAGGGACACTTCGGCACGGGAACAATCGATGATAGCTTCATGACGTGATAAGAAATCCCTACCTAGGATAAGGTCATGAGAGCAAGATGGTAGAACAAAAAACTGTACGACGTATAAAACGTCTCGGATGACGACGCGCGCCGTACACACAGCCGAGGGATGAATGCGTTGCGCGCTAGCCGTGGACAGCACCAAGCCACTGAGAGATGTGGTCACTTTCTTCAGTTTCCTACAAAAGTTTGCGTTCATCACAGAAACGGCGGCTCCGGTATCAATTAACGCTAATGTGGCGACTCCCTCAACATCGACATCAACAACATTTTGCGGCGGAAATGGAGGCCTTGGGAATTGCGCACAAGTTGCAGTTCTTGCCTCCGGAACTGCACTGATTAGTTTCCCTCCTCAAGAGGTGGTCGACGACGCATAGGCGATGGCGATCGGCGACGAGGTGATGGGAAACGAGCAGTCGATGGGTGGCGATCCGAGTCGGAGTGCCTCTGTTCATATGCAGACGTGGTGGTCTGCTGCGGTGCGTAGGTAGGAGCTCCGAAGTATGTGTGCGCAGGCGTCGGACGGCGGCGGCAGAAGCGTGCAATGTGGCCAGCGATGCCACACGCGAAGCAGATGGGACGATTGTCTCGGGTGCGCCACTCATTAGATGAACGGAAAAAGCGAGGTGGGGACCGGTAGACTGGAGGCGAGGCCGGAGGAGGTGGAGCCGATAAGGCGACTGGATGCGGTGGGGGCCGCGCGACCACAGCTGCGTAGCTGAGAGGTGAAGGCGGCGCAGTTGGTGCGTAGCCAGCAGTTGAGAGATCAGATGGCACCGTAGTGCACGGGTAAGAGGCCGGAACTGTAGGGAGGGCATTGCAAATTTCAGTGCGTATGGCCTGCTGCATATTCGAAGGGAGGCTTGTCGTGGGCGCGTCACTATGCGGCAGCAGGGAAGGCTGTCGGGCGACTTCCTCCCTGATGAAATCTTTAATCTGGTTCGACAGAGTTCCTTGGTGAACGTTGCCATTGGCGAGTGCGACGGCCGAGATCGAATCTGGTGATGGGACACTCTGTCGGGCGATGGACCGCTGACGACGCAATTCATCGAAGCTCTGGCACAGGCTTACGAGGACTGCCATCGTGGTCGGGCTCTTCGCCAGCAACATCTGGAATGCGCCGTCTTCGATGCCTTTGAGAATATGTCGAATTTTCTCTTCTTCAGGCATGGATGAGTTAACACGCCTGCAGAGGTCGAGCACATCCTCAATATAGCTAGTAAAAGTCTCACCAGGTTGTTGGGCTCGGTGGCGCAGACGCTGGTCAGCGCGGAGCTTGCGGACCTCTGGTCGGCCGAATGCTTCGGTCACGAGAGTCTTGAAGGTGGACCAGCTGGCGATGGCGGTTTCGCGGTTGGTGAACCATAGCTTGGCGACGTCAGCCAAGTAAAAGATGACATAGGCAAGCTTAGAGTCATTGTCCCATTTGTTGATGGCACTCACGCGTTCGTACAAGGAGAGCCAGTCTTCGACGTCTTGCTCACCACTGCCGCTGAAGATTGGTGGGTCCCGCTGACGGGTAGCACCGGGGCAGGTCGACGGGGCAGCCGATGGTGCTGGCTGTGCTGGGATGGGCTGGTTGGTGACTGCGTCAGTCATGTTGTACGGTAGTCTTTCGGCCAACTTGCGAGAGCGGAGCTCCAGGTCTGCTTAGGGATCTCAGCAGCCTCCACCAAATGCGATGATGTTTATTAGAACAGAGGATTCGCAACGAGGTCGCGACGGAAAATGGGCGAACAGCAAGTCTGGCAAAGGCGGCACAGGTTCTCGCGCAATCTGAGCACGGACTTTTCGTCGTCTTCCGAAGGCGCATACGCGTTGGTGCGTATGCTCCAGTACACTAGCAGTGCTAGGTGAGTGGGACACTTTTAAACCTAAACTGGGAATTAGCCTAGCAATGCATCCATGGCAACACATCATGAAATATGCTATCACGCTTCATGTACTCTTACACAGAGGCTTCAGTAGCACACCTTCGACCACAAGTTTCTCGTAAGAAATCTGGCAATCGTATTCTGAGCGCGCTTTGTAGCCGAAAATTACCGAAGCCTTCATACATGTGACAATAAATGTAAGGAATTGTTACTTCAAATATCACTTCGCTATAATTTTATAGGTAAAGAACAGGAATGTGGGGAAAATTTGTGAAGTAAATCATAACACAGTCCAATCGTCTTTCTTGTCCCTTATGTTTATTTTTTGACCTCATAGCGAACATCATTTCGAAAAGGTCGCCAATGACAGTAGTTGCTCATTGGGGATAATTTCGCACGAAAGTGCCTAAACATTACCATGACAAAACACATTGCAAGGGAAGCCACAGTGAAGGGCTCTGCAAATTTTGATGAGTTGAGATTCCTCAAGGAAGAAAGAAAAATAGGAGGGAAAGAACACCAAAGAGGTTAACCAGCCTATAGGCAGCCGGTTTGCTACCCTGCGCATAGGAGGGGTATGGGGGAGATGAAAGATAGAGAGCAGAGAGGGAAGAAAGATATACACAGCACATTCGGCAGCACACGTGCGTGAGATTCCTCAATATGTACATATATCTAAGCAGGTGGTCAAGAAGCTTGTATTTCGTCTCCATCGAAATAGGGCCACCGCAGTGGAAATTCAATCGTCCTAACTTTGAGGTCAGCAGTCCAGAACAACAACCATTACACCACACACGGTGGCTACTGACAAACGATTCAGCGAGTATGATCGATATTCAAACAGGGCGCATCCTACGAATGGCCGGCATGTGGACGCCTTTTTTTGGTTATTTCTTGGAAACTATCAGTATATTTGAAATCTCACCTGTGCGCAATACTCAGTGGTCACTCATTGTTCACCTTGTTAATCATCCAGGTGATACCGCAGCCTAAACTGCGGAGCAAGCGATGGATTAGCTCGACCATTCCGGAGAGTCATTGGCATGAACCCTCCTCGCAACTGTGCTCTGCCGAATACCACACGCACAACTACCTGAACCCGGTCCTCTTCCGTGAGGCTCTAACGCATGTACCTAAACACGCCATCTTGTTGGAGATTGGACCACACTGCCTCCTGCAGGTGAGAAAACTTACAACGCAGGATTTATCATTTCCATGTCGACGTGAGTTCGCCATCGAACTCGATGCAAAAAGCAAGGCACATTTTGTTTGTGGCCATCGTTCTCAGCTAGATCATCGTTAAAGAACGCGCCCATTTCGCCACTCTAGTATAGATTCCTTCACTCTGTCGCTTTCTCAATGGAGTGGTAATGTACTGTTACCCAACATAGTTGCCCAAAGGTTGCAGTGAGCACGCACAATTTCAGCTTACGAAGCAAGTGTAACACACAGTGTTAAACATTTGTATTGATTAAATAATATATTACTAAACGTAAGCACTGCTTCCCTACAATTACACGCATCTGAACTAAATCAGAAGAATCATACAAGAACAACACCTAGTAAAACAAATATATTGTTATGAGAGAAACGTCACAGAACACAATAAAAATGCAGCATTATGCAACCAAGCATATTGTTTTACAATAAAAGCGAGATGAAAATAATCACTACGCTTCCGGAAAAGGGACAGGTTTATGCAGCTTACGTGTAGGACACCCAGAAGTTTTTTTTCGGAGGGGGGGGGGGGTAGGAGGGGCGCTTAACCATGGCTTTGTGTGCGCATTTGCATGTTGGCATATATATAGACACATGCGAAAGGAACAATCTTCAAGAAAGTATGAATCACCCCACCCTGCATCTTTAAAAACTATGCCCCGCAAACTTGCAGAGGTCACTTACAGGTAAATATACCTTCTAACTTCAACATTATCAGGTGGTAGAAAATTCAAATGGCGACGTGTTGTGGGCAGAAAATAAGTTTCGAGTTTCTCTGTTTTGTCCAGAAAATCGTCAACCGTCTTATTTGGTCAAGAGCACACTGCACATCCAGATGCTTCTTTGATGTACCATACTTGTTCTTTCTGAAGAACATTTTTAATCAGCCATTCGCTCTTTCTTTTTCTGTTTTTGTTTTTGCTTTTGCTTTCTTTTAACAATTTAATGAAAAAGGTGCCTAAGTGCTATGCAGAAGCATTTAGCTACGAAAGTTGGCGTTGGATTCTCATGCGTAGTAAATTATTGTAGATATATTCCCCATAGATCATGCAGTGCGTGACAGTGTGTGCAAGGAGTCGCATAATGAGATCAGCTGATGGTTCACACTTATAAATTTTATTTATGCAGGTGCCTGGACACAAAATAAGGTAAATGGGAGAGAGGAAGTGTAGATTGTACAAAATCTTTGCCAATAATGTCATTTGGAAGGGTGCTTTTCTGTATCTCATTTACGTAAAATTTTAGAGAGATTTAATGTTAGGATTGATATTAGTGATTTCTGGTGTTTAACGTCTCTAAACCACTATATGATAACTAGAGACGCCGTAGTGGAAGGCTCTGGAAATTTAGACCACTTGGGGTTGTTTAACGGGCACTGAAGTCTAAGCACACGAGCCTCAAGCACTTTCGCCTTCATTGAAAATGCGGCTTTGCGGCTGAGATTCAATCCCGCGACATGCGGGTCAGCAGCGGAGTGCCTTAGGGCCGTTCCACGCGCTTCCCGCACAGCCGCAACGTACGTGCAGGGACCCCTACCGCACGCGAGCGGGGGACAAATAAGCCTAATGGCAATGCTCTTTCACCCTCCGCCGCGTCGCAAAATGGCTTATTTGTCCCTCGATTGCATGCGGTAGGGGTCCCGGCACGTGCGTTGCGGCTGTGCGGGAAGCGTATAAAACGGCACTTAGGCCCCAGACCACTATGGCGAGTATCGTTAGAATTTCAATATAGCGACGCCTATCTTACAAGAGTGTGGACGTGAACTAGGTAATACAAGTTTTTTTTTTGTTATGTTTCGATACAGTAACCGCATAGGAGCCCCACGAAAACAAAAAAAGCAATGCAGAGCCAGTGGCACTGTGGGCAATCGTGTTTTCTTGAGTTCACAAATTGGCTTTTTTTCGTCCTTCATTATATAGTTCATCTTTATTCACTGTTTTCTGTTTCAGTAATTTTTTTCTGGGTTTATTTTTCTGTCTTTCTGTTTATTTCTATTTCTTTCTCTTTCATCCTCTCCCCATCTGTGTTTCTCTTTAATTCCTTTCTTCCTCTTTCACTCTGCTTACTTCTCGCTGTTTTATTACTATTATATTCATTACAGAATTCGTTTTAATTAACGGAATGAACCGAGCCTAGCAGATGTCTAGGTGCGTTCTCTTGCTGTGTGCGCAGCTGTGCGATTAAGATATCGCGTCCCAGTATTAGGGATGACGGGGAAAACTGAATAGAGTCGCAGGAGGTGATGCGCTGCCCCCCTCCCTCCTTACTTTTGTTTTTTTTTCTCTCTCAGCTGATCGTGTCGCGTCGACCGCGCGCTACGACGGGGGACGCTACGCTTCTCCTAGCTGTGTCAGCACAAGACATATCGTACGGACTCATGTATACATGTGATGAATAAGCGTTCCAAGGCTGGTTAATCGGGGTATTTCGGATATGCTACAGCTATGTACGCCTGGAAGGCTGCTTTATCGAAGCAGATGGAGCGAATTAAGCGCGACTTGCGCGTGCCTGTAAATGGGACCCGGCCGACGAGCCACCGTCGCTAACAGGGCCCCACCCACAATAAGCACAAACTACTAAAATTCCAAATAATCTTCGTGTATTGTTTCTTAGCTCAAGAGCTTAGTATACAACAATAAGAATAAAATGACATAATAAACATAATAATTACAATAATAATAATACAATATAATGACTACATAAACATAAGAATAAAATGACAACATGTCTCACTACGCGCTAATCACAATTAAACTAGATACCGGCGAGCAATTACCTCCATTAATCGAAGAAAAGGGTCTTTCACGTTGGGATGTACGTTAATTGATCTCCACCAAAGCCAGACGAGGATGAGACGGCATAAGTGAGGTAGTCGTCTTGTTGCTGTTGCGAACGAGACGGCGCTTGGCCTTTTGCCATTCACTTTCAATCTTTTGCGTGTTGGCGCCTGTCGTAGGATCAACGAAGTTGACACTGTGGTTCATGGTGTGCCCGTCCAAGTTTAGCGTTGTTCTATTGGCATCCACAAGTCTGGGTTTGCACTGGTACGCGGCCCACTCGTCGCTGTACACCGTCGTTCCGGGAAGAATGTGCTGCTGGTCGAAGCGATGGCGCAGGCGACAGTCCGATTTCACGAAGGAAGGCCTCTTCCGCGGCAGGGTACCTTATGATGTCGGCAATTTCGACAATGCTGGGGTCTATCCGTGGCGTGGACATGACGAGACGCTTCCTGAACTGGTAACAGTGTAGCTTGCATGGCTAACGTTACGGCATTTTATAAGGGTCATGAGGTGAAAGGGGGATAGAGTGCTCTAACGTTGACAGGGCGCCTACGTGATGCAGCATCAGCGAGGAAAGAGGGGGTGGGTCACGGCGCCGACGTGGCGCGAGCATCTGCGGAGAAAGACTGGATGGGTCACGGCCCTAACGCCATGCGAGCACCTGCGGAGAAAGACGGGATGGGCAAAGACGCCTGGAATAAAAAAAACTTAAAAAACCTTTTTGGACCTCTAACGTTGGTTGACATGGCGCCGACCCGACGCGACGCGAGTGTATGAGGAGAAAGAGGGGGTGGGTCACGGCGCCGACGCGACGCGAGCATATGTGTGAAAATACGGGATAGGCGAAGACGCCTCGGCCTCGAATCGTACAACACCTAGGTCACGTACTACACTTCGGTGCCCTCCTTCCCCGCAGCAACGGTGACTTGAGCGGGAGTGCGAACGACGTTACGTGATGCTACGTGATGTGACCCACGTATCACGTAAACAGTACACCACCCAGGGCCCGTACTCCTCCTCGGTGCATTGGGCGTCGAGACATGGACAAACTTGCTGATGTAAACCTCTCAAATTTCCTTATTTGGTGCTCCCTATCTCGGTCGCAATCCCTAAGCTTTAGGATCGTGATCCTTATGAAATGCCGTAACGTTAGTTGTGCAAAGTACATTGTCACCATTTCAGGAGCCGTCGCGTTATTGGACTGTCGAAGACGCCATCGCTTCGAGCGGCAGTTCGACCTGCAGACAGTCGGAAACAGCACAGAAACCGCCGCCGACATCCGATTGATGGGGAATTCGCAAGGACCTCGGCTTAATTATGGTGACCCAGGATGCAGTAAGTTGTCACGTACAATCGCCCGGCAAAAAAAAAAAAACGAGCAGACCCACACTTCAGGTACAATGGTTGCAGGAAACAGCTAGCTGTCCCAGCTCCGCGGGACACTCACGATGCAGGGTAGACAGGGGCAAGGCTCCTTTTTTTGCCTCTCGAGACGTACTTGGTCGTTGCACGTCTCAACGTGAAAGACCCTTTCATTCGATTAATGGAGGTGATCGCTCGCCGATATCCCGTTTAGGGATCCCTGCCACATCGTGAGTTATGAGCGGGTAGTGAGACATATTATGCCATTTTATTCTTGTGTACCCACTTTATTGTTTTATACTGCGCTCTTGAGCTGAGAGACAATTTGTGCTTATTGTGGGTGGGGCCCTGTAAGCGACGGCGGCTCGTCGGCCGGGTCTTATTTACAGGCTACGCGCAAGTCACGCTTAATTCGCTCCATCTGCTTCGATAAAGCAGCCTTCCAGGCGTACATAGCTGTAGCATATCCGACATACCCCGATTAACCAGCCTTGGAACGCTTATTCATCACATGTATACACGAGTCCGTACGATATGTCTTGTGCTGACACAGCTAGGGGAAGCGTAGCGTCCCCCGTCGTAGCGCGCGGTCGACGCGACACGATCAGCTGAGAGAGAAAAAAAAAACAAAAGTAAGGAGGGAGGGGGGCAGCCCATCACCTCCTGCGACTCTATTCAGTTTTCCCCGTAATCCCTAATACTGAGACGCGATATCTTAATTGCACAGCTGCGCACACAGCAAGAGAACGCGCCTCGACTTCTGTAATGGGCGGTTCATTCCGTTAATTAAGACGGCCTCTTAATTGCGCAGCAGCGCCACGCTGGACTTCTGCTAGGCGCGGTTCATTCCGTTAACTAAAACGGCCTCTTAATTGCGCAGCAGCACCGCACTCGACTTCTGCTAGGCGTGGTTCATTCCGTTAATTAAAACAGCCTCTTAATTGCACGGCAGCACCACACTCGACTTCTGCTAGGCGCGGTTCATTTCGTAAATAAAACGAAATCTGTATTGCGCGGTTCATTCTGTTAATTAAAACGGAATTAAAACGGCCTCTTAATTGCACGGCAGCACCACGCTCGACTTCTGCTAGGCTCGGTTCATTCCGTTAATAAAAACGGCCAGCGTCGCTCATGCACTCTCGAAATGTACCGCGGATAGCACCAAACTCTTACGGAGAAGCCACAACTACAAGAAAAAATTTTCAGCCAGGAAATGCACCGCGGATTGCACCAACCTCTTACGGAGAAGCCACAACTACAGGAGAAAAATTTTCAGTCAAAAGATGCACCGCGGATAGCACCAAACTGTTACGGATAAGCCACAACTACAGGAGAAACCTTTTCAGCCAAATTTAGCGGCAGTCTGGCAACAACCACCCTGAAGTCTGGCAACAGATTTATGCAACGCCAAAAGGAACCTTGCCCAACTTCTGTCATGGCGCCCCAGAGCTTGTTATCACCGGTAGAGGTACGGCTTTTACTGCTGAATTGACCCAAGTGATCTTAAAACATAGCCAGACAAGGCCACCGCCGCACCACCGCCTACCACCCACCGACAAATGGTCTCACCGAGCGGCTAAACAAGACCATCGCCGGCATGCAGGCCATGCATGTCGACATCAAATACAAGACGTGGGACGCCATCCTTTCGTACATGACCTTCGCATATAACACGGCCGTGCATGAGACGACGCAGATGGAATCGTACAAGTTGACCTATGGGAGGAACCCTGCAACGACGTTCCACGTAATGCTGCCCGACGTCACTGAGGACGAAAACCTTGACGGTCCCTTCTATTTTAAGCGCGCTGAAGAAAACTCGTCAACTCGCCCGCTTGCGGATCACGAATTAGCAGACGACTGACTGCCACCGTTACAATCTTCGGCGACGCTTCGTGGAATACGAGCCCGGAGAATGTGTTTAGGTATGGACGCGGATACGCCGACGTGAACTCAGTGAAAAGCTTTAGCGACGGTACTTCGAACCATACAGTGTAGTATGACGTCTCGGCCGCCTCGTCTACGAGGTTGTCCCCAACGGCATTACAAACTTTTAATGGCGCTCATCGCAACCTTAATTAAGCCGTTCATGTCCCGCTCCTCAAGCCGTTTTATGAACGCTAGCGGACTAAAAGAGTGTATTTTTGTTGTTGTTATTAGTACTGTATCACACTTTATTTTTTGTACTTTCTTACATTACTATTGCACTTTCGTCTGCTGTTAAAGCATCAGGACTATGCCTTTTTCAGAGGGGAGCAATACTACGTTCCTCCCTCAAGTTTTCTTATCACCCCGTTACGCTGTACGCGATTCTCAGCGTGAATGACGCCTACAGTGTTCGAGAAACGTCCGGACTGCAGTAGATCATTTCGTTCAGATGACGCCTACTTCTTGAGCATTTCCGATTATTCTGCAATATACGTCGCCGTTAGTGATAGCGCTAAAATATTACATGGCGAATGTACAAATGCCGTCACACTTTGCCACTTGTTATTTGATCGACGGCGAACGCTGCGTACGCCACTATCAGTGCAAGTGTGCTACTGTAAACCGACTTTCCGTTTACCGGGCACAGGTTCGCCCAAGTAACCATTTTGGTCTTCCCATCCAGTCACCTGACTTCAGCCACGTCACGACCCCGTAACACTATGGTGCATGGGTTGGCGTGCCTGTATAGCCGAGTCCTTAGGACATTCTGCTTCAGGTCAAGGGTACGCGGGTGCCAATTCAGCCTCACTAAGAACTCTTTTCGGTGAGAAACCAGCTCTTTCCTTCTCTTTATAATTTTTCTGCTTCTGTCCTCTTTCTCTTTTCTTTCCCTATCTTTGTACTGGTTCTCTCATTATCAGTATATGCCATAGCACATTGAAAAGCTTGCCACATGCGTTCTGGTATCGAAGCAGAAAAGGAACAGGATGACGGACAAGATTGAAAGAAGAAAAACGGCGCGTGACAGTTCAGACTTGTACGACAGATTCTAGGATCTGTTCTACTTTACTCTACTATATTCTGTGTAGCTTATGAACACACTAAATTAGTAAAACTATAGGATCCAGACAGTCAAGTTCAGAATGGACCGTTAGCGTATGCTGTCACGTGGTCAGGACGGTGAAAAAGTCTCCAACAGGACTTGCAAAAACTGACAGCTGCGAAAACAGCCTTGACCGCCGAGTTTTCTAATCTGCCGTTAAAATTTCCTGAATTTCTACATGCCGCATCAAACAATCCAGGTGGTGAACGTGCTAGTTCCAGAATGAGCTCCACTGTTCGCGTTGTGCGGTAAGCCATATCAAAATACTCTGAAAGTTCGGGAATCTTCCACTGCGTGGCGTTGTGTGTTAATGGCAGTAATTATGCGTGAAAGAATTCTATTACATTCAAATAGATAAAAAAACTTGCGTTGCTACATATAAAGCACCGGTATACAAAGATCAAAGCATATATGTCCATATGAAGAGTATGGAGGATTCCTTAGAAGTTATTGTAGATTTTCCGAATTTCATCACTCAATTTTCACGTGCCTACTCTTTGGCATTTGAGTCATCAGAAATGTGCGAGCTCAGTTTGTGCAGCTTTTGTAATATTACAAAAAGCTTTCCTTGTGGCCCGTGAAACTTCATTTAACCCTGTCAACAACCGTGGACACCTTCTATTACTTTTCAACAGCCGATCCTGCGGCGTGCTGTGGGCCCTAAAGCCACTTGTCTGGGTCTTATGAAGCGCTACACGGACAACCTGGAGTACTTCCTTCGCTCGCTTGGCAGGCTTCACACTCTTGGTGTCCAAATGAACTTGTCGGTGCTCTACCCTCCAGTTCCATGGCCCGTGCCACGTGGCACTCCAAGCATTGCACACTTGGTCAGCTGGGACCACTCGCAAAGCTGGACAGTGGCCCATTGGAAGGACTTTTCTAACGCGACAGAGGTGAGACTTCATTATTTCTACTTTTACGCGCTGCCTTTCTCACGCAAGTTACAGCTACCACACAGTGACAAAAAGTCCTTAAGTCTCAATGTAAGCTGCTTAGAAATGCTGCTTTCATGCCTTTTAGAATGTACTACACGAGCCTTCTTCCATTTATGGGGTCGCGGGAAATCATACGCGTCATTTGCAGACATACGTGTTAGCGTAAGGCATTTCCATGAATTGGGCCTACTTCCATAGAATTCAGCTTCCTAGGTGATGACTTGTTTCTGAGCTGTAAACTTTCGTACTGTGTCCCCATGAGGGCCGTAACCCATGCTTAATCAGAGCTTGGAGTCTATTGTCGTGTCATTAGGCTTCCTCTGTGACGCAGAATCCCGATCGAGAACAAACATTGCAAAACGGATGTCCACAGGGAGTATTGTACAGTCGTGTAGCTACGAGTCAGCGTGCGTGCTTCTCAGCCCTATCCGTATATAAACGCAACACTGTAATGAAGAAGGAAAAAGAAATGCAAGAATAGCTGCAGGTGTGTTTATGCTGTGGAGCCGTGTATTATGCATTATGGCAAAAGTAGGTTGCTGTTACAAGTAGCGCCCGTCGGCACATTTCTTTTGGCTGTAAATAAAAGAATTCAGCCTTGTTGACAGGTCACCGAATGCGCGGAAGAGTAAATTTCAAATGGCGCCGCTTTACCACTGCATCCTTCCATTATTACGAAGAGCGTTGAGACAGAAGGGCAAAAAATAGTTTAGCGGCTACAATATCTTCGCTTCTCCTATCAATTATAAAGAAAGCGTTTTCACTGTATTTTTAAGGGGCGTGAAATGATTTTGGCTTTTTTTTTCATTCAGTAACGGAGTGATTCAGAAATCATTTTAATGATGGGTCAAGAAATGGAAAATGTACAACATCTTTTCATGAGCAATTTCAAATGTTGGCCCTAATGCAGCCTCCAATGACACAGCTGGCTCCCCTAAACGACGAGGTAAACACACTAATTTAAAATTCATGCTATGTCACAGCGCAGTTAGAAAATGTGAAAATGTTTCAGCCAGAAGATTTCGTATAATTACTTTTCGTAAAACATTGGTAGATGTTCAATATTCTTGCGATGGAGTTTGCAATAGCGCTGATTTTTTTCTTCCAAACATGCTCGTTTCCCACGAGCAAGTAAGAAATATAGCTATGTAACAAGTCAAGCTACGGTGCCCAAAGATATTTGGTGTGGCCTACAAGTTCGGAACATCATTATTGTTGGCTGGAACGCGTTTATTATTTTATTGTCGGTGCAATACGATGGCTTTTGTCAAGTAGTGCGTTGTGGCGCATTTGTTTACCACGTAGCTTCTCTACATAATCTAGATAGCTTTCAGGTTTATCTGAAAGACTGCGCTATTACACACAGTGCATGTTAGACTGATGCACCCGATGTTTTCGACATACGAGACTAGAGTATCGCAAGCCTTGCTTCGCCCTCAGGCCTTTGAAGAGGTCATTCAGATTGACGTTGGATCGAACAGTGCGGACAAGTATCTTCTCGGTCACCAGCCCGATGGTCGTGTGATCTTTCCTGGCGCTGGCTACATGCTTCTCGTGTGGAAGACTCTCGCAAAGCGCTTGGGAAAATCCTTCAACGAAGTACCCGTCATCTTTGAGCACCTGAAAGTTCAGCGCGTGACTATCCTACCTCCATCTGGTAAGTCACCAAACATCCTGCAGGATATTTTTAACGAACGTTTACACGAACCGAGAATATTCTCGACTCCAGCAATTCAAGCGGCACCTAGCTGCAATATAGGAAAGCTGCGTACTGAGGTCCCAATAGTTCAAGCACCAGTCGTATACTGTAGGAGCTTGGCGGGACGGTGCCACCTGTGAAGAAAAAAAACGAACAGCCAAGCATATTTTTTCTTTCCAGGCGAGGCACCAGTGTTAACTTGTTGACGCGAACCTATTAAATTATCATTGTATGCAGTGACTACATGTCGCTGCAGGCGCCCGATGTAGAAAAGTTTCGCCGAGAAGCTGTGTGCTATGTGCATTACACACACAACGCGACCACTTCAGGAACACCGCTCGCGCTTGCGGGACCACTGGTGCCGACTAAAATAAGATGCTCGGCGTCGACAATCCGCTCGCCTTCTACAAAGCAGCGCGAACTGCAATCACATTGCAGAAAACTCAATATCTGTGTTAGCGACAGCGAACGTGGGGACCTCCGTGAATCCGCCATGCTGCAACTCCGCAGCGCCCTCTCATGTTCACTTGAGTTGCGAACGCTCTACAACCGTGGTTTTCCTGTACACCTATATTTATCCACAAATACACGAAATGATTTAAGTAAAAGTACTATCGAAAAATCAATTTTTAAACTTGCCATTAGCTAGTAAAATACATCATCGAAAAAAATACGGTAGTTTTTTATGTAGAAGGTATATTACCGTAGATAGGCGTTCTAATTAAGGAACGCAGTGAGTTAAACACTGTCTTCCTAACGTGGTTATTTACGTGTGTATGTGGGTGCCCACCACATTCCTAGTAGCTGAGCAACTGACAGCCAAGCCAGGTTTACCAGCTGGAGGCAGTCGTCCAGTTGAGAGTTAGTCGAAACACACTGGTTTTAGATCGACATTCGGTGTAAATTGCTTCAGCTTTTTCAGATTGTACCGTTCAAATCACACTGTCTGAGTGGGCCATATATTTGTTTTCAAATTACAATGTGTGGTCCCAACTGTATGACATCAATTGCCTAAGGCACTATTTTATTTGCCAACAGAAAACTGCCAATCAATACCCCTGGTACCAGCCGCTTCCACAACACTAAGTTTGACGTACCACAAATAATAGGTAGAAGCGATTTCCACCATGTTAGCTAAGAAGTTAATTTCTCTTCATGACACAACCGCATTACAATTACGAAAAGAAAGCGTGCGCAATCTATCACTCTTGAACAAACGAGATTTATTTTTTATTCGAAAAACACAGGACAAGAAATAACTGGCCATCTAAAATAGGTCCAAATACAGCCCGAGCTGTATTTGCTGGAGTCAAGAGAAGACGGAAGCGAATGTTTTTGCTTGTTTTTGTGAAAAACCGTCAAATTCTTAATTTATGTACCTATATTGCACACTGCCTCGTATTATTTGCCTGCTCTAGATTCCAGACGTCTAGTTTACGGCATAGTTATCTTCAATGCGGAACGCTTCCTGAAAGGACAAAGAAGTGAAAACTTGAGAGCTCGTTTTTTCTTTGTTACACCCACTAATAACAAGAACTAACAGACATGGATACGAAAGAAATTGTAAGAAAAATTATGAATGGTAATTGCAGTGTAAGTACTCAGAAAAGTAGGTAGAATGATAACTTGCCACTCTTATACAACCTTAGCATAAGGCGTCGGATGTACAACCACCTGAACTATTGCGCCTCAGTTGGTACATAATCGGACGGCCTATTCGAAGATCACTGGTTCCGACTCTGCTTGCGGCAACTTATATATCCATTGACTTTTGTTGTTCACATTTACATCATGATCACTTCTAATGACATCCGCTATAATTTTATTGTCATCCTTGCCTGTTAATGTTTTTAATATATTGAACGAGTAATTTTTGTTCTAAGTTTCTAGAAGATTAAGTTGGAGCAAGCGCACCAAACCATATTACCAGTCAAAAACGCATTTCTTTTTCATGCAGGCTGTGTGAGAATCATGGTCACAATGATGCCACTGTCTGGGGAGTTTGAAGTTTGCGAGTCGAGAGCAGTGGTGGCTAAAGGGCGCATCCGCGTGGCCAAGGAAGGGGAGGCAGTGCTTCTCAAGGACCCTCCGGGAACCCCAAAAGAGGCCATCACTTACGACATGGACATTGGCGACGTCTACAAAGAACTCAGTCTCCGCGGCTACAAGTTTTACGGAGCATTCCGGGGTGTCCTGGAAGCTTGTTCACAAAGTAAGGTGGATATGTCTTTATAATGCCAGAATTCATGTTAGAATGTCATAAATTGTGGGCACTTCTCTGAAACAATGAAATAAAACGTAGGAAATGAGGGAAGAAATTAAAAAAAAACATGGACGCATCGACGTGTTTTTCTTTCGTCCCATCTCTGATCGTGCTGTTAATTCCATCTTTGCGAGAAAAGTCCGCTACTTTCACAACTACGGAGGTGCGCTCACGCAATATGTGTTTTCAAGGTGTTAAGCTTAGTTATTAAGAACTCCTGACCAAGCTACAGCCGCTCTAAAGAAAACTTCGTGTCGTTTTGAAAATGCAGCGCGCTAAAATAAAACTGACACTGCAGTAAAAAAACGGAATTCGTTCACATCACCGCAATTTAGATACAAGCGGTTCAAACGTTCTCAAATATTTGAGTGGAAAATCAGCCAGAACAGAATCCGACTTTGTAGACATGACAGACGATTACTTCGGTTGCAAGTGACCATTCACTTATGTCCGAAATGCTTCTTCGTGCAGCATGTTTTATTTCACTAAATGATTTCACGATGAGGCAACACCTGAAGCAGCAGAAAATGCTACCATATACGGTTGAAACAGAACCAACAGACTGCGGACTCATTTTAAATGCAATTTTCACTGATACTGTCAAGTACTTACATTTTCATGCAGCTTAGAGTCAGATAAAAGCTTTTATTTGTGATTCTTAACAACGAAAAAAATTATTACATCATTTGTTTATCGAAAGTGAAATGAAAAGATGTATCTGGCAAGGTTTCACGTAACTTTTCACCTTTTATGACCCATATGTGGTAGTACGTTGCGAAGTCATAACTCCCCGAGCTAGCTTATCCATTTAACAGTTATCGTGTGTTCATGTTTTACATAATAGCTGCTTAATAACATAGTTAGAGATCGCATGTTTTACGCATTTATAGTGGCTGTACGTACTTGCGCTTTCATTTGTGTGGCGTGAAGACCATTCCAGCCACGACATGAAGCAGTGTAGTTATATTCAGCAATATAAGATACAGCGCCGAATTCATGGGTAATAAATGCGACCTAGTGAATTGCCAGGTGTGCCTGTCAGCCTTAGGATTCCTTACCAAGAGCATACTTGGGCTAGACAACACTTTTTAGCCGCTATGGTCTTTACAAGGTGATTTTGCAGTCTCCTACCGCATTTCTACACTGCCATACAAGAAAAGCCGTGAAAATGATAAAGTATACATTACAGCGGTAGCATGGAACCTTGACTCTACGCTTGTAAAATGGGAGGCCTCAATTTTACACCTAGGATTATAGTGAATTTTTTGTCGTTAATCGGAAAGTTTGGATCATATTTTTTTGAATGCTCACTATCAGCAATACCGTCCTATAATTCCAAAAATACACATCTCTGAAGTGCTTCACGCGTACTTGCTACGCAATTGACATGCATTTTTCTCCTAGTCCGCTTGTTTTTTTTTTCCTACCTAAAAGTAGAATACTGAGCGTGAGAATGATACATAGACATAAACGAAAGAAGCAGGAAAAGCAGACCCGCAGGTAGTGGTATCGAATCGCGGCCGTGACGGCTTCATTCTTTATGAAGGCGAGAACGCTTGACGCCCATGTGCTTACATTTAAGTATACGTGAAAGAACACCAGGTGGTAAAAATTTACGGAGCCTTCCACTACGCCACAACTCATAATCATGCGGTGGTTTCGGGACGTTAAACCCCAACAATTACTGTAAAGACAAGAAAGGCTGTACTTTGATTAATGTTTATTTAGGAGTTCGTCAGCAAATATATGCAGAAAACACACATGCGCAGCAGGGCAAATGCATAGTTGAGCACATGACTTCCGAATCAGTCAACAATATATTCAATTTCTTCCACCAAAAAGTTCACCATGGTACCACTGACACACATGCCCCTCTTTGATAGATGTACAACTCTTCAAGTGACACCAGTGCTATCTTGACCGTACTCCGCTGATAATATTTATTTCATTCTTTGTCTCATATACTACGCAACTTACGCAGTGCTCTGCCAAATAAGTATCCCAGCTTATTACAGCCCGTGAATTCTCACCCACCCAGTCATCACTACAACGGCCCATGTAGAACCAGCCTCGTTGGTCTAGTGGCTGAATCACCCAGATGCTGACTCGCAGGTAAAGGGATCGAGTCCCGACTGCGCCGGCCACATTTTCGATGGAGGAAAATGTTTGACGTGCTTGTTCTTAGATTCAGCTGGACGTTTAACAACCCCAGGTGGTCGAAATGTCTGGATCCTTCCCATTAAAGGCGTCTGTCAATATCAATTAGTTGTCTTGGGACGGTAAACCCCATCAAATATTATTATAACAACCCATATGGACAATAGACGCTGTGCGTCAGGTCAATGGGAATTCATTATTACACCGCGTGCAACAGTTAAAATTGTCTACCATGTTTTTTGTTGGCAACTACTTTTCTTTGAACCATGAGCAACGTGCGAGCAAAACTGAGCAAACTTCTTTGGAGCCGGCAACACTACTGGCATCTTTCGAAGGATCGCCACATTTTTAACATGGTGTGCAACTTTCTTCTGGTACGTACGGCACCACAACAAGCTTGACCCTTCTCAAAGATGTCGGATATTCTGCCAACACACTCGGGGAGCGTCAGGTGTGTAATTTTATTAGCACAAATCATATAGTAATCCACTTACTGGAAAACTTTTCGCACACCTCTCTAATGGCTGGATCATTTATTTGTGTGATACACTATTACTAAAAGCACGTTACAAATGACTGGAGCTATTCATGCAGCAGTACAGCTCCTTTCTTTATATGGTAAAATTTATGTATAAATGAGATGACTGTCTTACCAAGATCAAAGTAAAAAAATGCTCAGAAGATTAGCAACAGATACACTACTACAATTTTTGAAAATAAAACAAACTAAACTCGTCGCTAGCTTCCGTAAAAGCAACAAGCGATAGTGAGAACAAGAACAAAAAAAATCAATTATTTCAACGAATGAGAGACGTCTTCGCGAGACTTTACGTTCAAGAAACTTCCCTACATTGAAAGAATTCTTCGCAAATCCCTTTCACCTGCGGCAAGGTGTATAGACCAGATGGGTCGTTGCGTCACAAATCAGGAGAGCATAGACGGGCCCTCTAGAGGGGGGGGGGGGGGAGTACTATATGGCTGAGCACAGTGTAAGTTGTGAGACACGTGACCGGAAGCGGAATGAGATAAAGGTTCTGGGAAGAGGGCAAGAGAAGGTGGCACGGGAATTCCTGCAAGAGCATCATATCAGAAAGAGAGGGAGTACGTGAGTAAGACACATATCGCTCGAGCTTTGAAATGCAGAAACTCAATGCTTTGATGATTTCTACTGAAGTGAATACGAGTTTGTGACAATACATCTTACTCTCTCCGCATGTGTGCTTTTGTATATAAATGCTGGCTCAAATATTTCTAGATGAAAGTGGATACCTACGTCAACTTAGTGAATTTCACTTTATCGCGCTCAAAAATTTTGCAATAGCTATGCACCATCGCACAGATTTCTTAAGTTTTGTTCTCATAGAAATTTTTTATTTGTGTTTTTCTTTCATATAGAACCCTACTTCAAGCTGAAATGGGAAAGCAATTGGGTCACCTTTCTAGATGCACTGGTGCACGTCAATTTCATCTGGAATCCACATAGGACGTTTGACTTGCCTGTTTATGTGCAGTCGTGCCGCATTGACCCAAGGGTTCAAGAAGCGATCACGGAGGCTTCTGCAGGAAAGGGTAAGTACAATCTGGTAATAGTGTTAGCCCAGAAAGCATTTTGAACGAGTACAAAAATTTCGAACCACCTTTGACTTTCACCAATCTTGCATAGAATAAAAGGAAGTTTTAGGTCGATAGACCATGTAAACGAATGTAGATTTTGGACCTTGATGAGTGGGGCCACAAGGCTGTGGCTTCCTCAATCATCTACGGCCGGTCAAGTATGACTCACAACTGCTAGTCGACACCTGGGTGAGTGAGTTTCACCTCGTACTGCTTTGAACTATTTACTGTTGGGTCGCCGAAAGATGTTTTTATTCCTGCGCCTTTCTGTGATATCCCCATTAGACGGTGTATACAATTGGCAAAAGCATGCACCATGTGAATCCAAGCAGGACCAGTATAACATTTGCTTAGCGCTTGTCTTGTGCTTTTATTAGCTTTGCCCAGTTGGTGCTCTGAAAGTTTGCCTTGATAAAACAACTGGCACAATTTCTCTTAAGAATTCGCACAATCGTCCTCAGAATTCTAGAGAGGTTGGCGTGCCTCCACTGACCCTGTAGGTGCAACCTATCCTTCGGGACTTCAGATTTGCCTGTGTGTCTTGGGTAACTTTTTGCCTATTCCTTCTGGTTCTTCATTTTTGTAGGCAAGCGTCGGTTTAGTTTAGTCGGCACGCCGCTTAAAAATTCGATGTTATGACTGATTCCTTCTTCACTTGATGTTCTTGTTCTCTGATTGCCCCAAGGTTATGGAAAATCTGTCTTCGGAATTGAGGATCTGTATCCAGCGCTTTTCATATCCAACACTTTTCATATTTCAGCGAATTGTTGCTGCGTACTTTACTGAGATGCCCCAGCCAGTGCCAACGTGTATGATATTTTTTGCTCGATTTCACTCGCTTCTTAAACCACTTAAGACTTTTTCATTCCTTTTTTGATCATTCTTCTTACCATTCGCGCTAAAGGCGCGACCTAAATCCTTCAGCGGATAACAAGCGGAATTCTTTGAGCTTTACATGAAGGTCTTGGGCGCGGGGAGGCACCTACTTTTATAAAAATTTATCTTTCTGATCGCGTCTTCCTGATTCCAATTCGTTTTGTAAATATGAGAATTGCCGCCTTCAGCTTGACGTGCGTATTGGGTCAATGAACTCAAGTGAATGTTCGGTCGATGTGCCACGGGTAGCTCAGAACTAAGCCCTTTTCTTTATCAAGATGATGAATTGATCTCTTCTGATGAGCTTTTGCTAGTTTTGACAGTACGCTATTTCGCTCATTACTAGTGGCTGTACTAAATATAGCCTTTATTGTATGTTTTGTTTGTACGCGTTATTTTGTGGGTTCTAGTGGCCGTGTGTGTTGCAGTTTTTAATAAAGCGGTGTTAGCTCATTCTTCCATTATTTCAGCATAGAAGCCCAGAATGAATTCTTGCCACGGGGATTTCTGACCCGAAGACTAATTCACCTGAGCACTAGTTGTATCCTCACTATGGCACCTGTGCTGCTGCAGAGCACTCGCAAGTGTTCACAAAGCAGCATAATGCAACAATGCCAAAGACCGCCGACGTGTTTTTCATGCACTCGTTGAGCACGCAAGTGTGGTAATGCTAAATTAGATAAATAGCGAGCGTACGGAAAACCTACGAGTTCTCTATCGTTCTGCCCATGCGCATTGTGATTCTGCTATGCTAATGAGCCCACTAAACTATAATTGTCTAGTCTTGACGAAGTTTTTTGATGGCTCTCATCGAAGGTGCATTCGGTAGGCTGCAACAATAGCAACGATCTGCGAGTCACAAAAAATGAAGGCGTGAAGAGAGCAGCAGCATTACCATATAATTGTGCGCAATTGGCTCACGCTTTGTAAAATGTCCCTTTCCTTCAGCGCAGACCTCGAACGGTGTTTCAAGTAAGCTGGTGAAGCTAAAGAAAGTGAAGGAGGCTCAATGCACTGAAACAGTGGTTAGTTCTGGGGGATTTAATGAGTCAATGCTATACAGGGTCACTGCACTGCAGAACTCCGCATAATTCTGGCAATCGATTCCTTTAACGCTCACTTGTATAGCGCGCTATACGGGCTTCTATCACTTCGCCTCCTTCGAAATTTGTTCCTCAAAGCCGCATTATTTGTGTAAGCTGCAGATGAAAACTACTTGTTGATAGTTTTAGCTGCTTTGGATTCCCGGCACAAAACGAAGTGAATTAGGGTAAGAGAGGTACTTGGAACGCAAGCAGAATTTCCTGCTGTACATTGAAGTATTGAATGCTTTACCAGATTTCTGGAAATTTACGGATTTTTCGCACGCCGATGGGTGTATAAGCAATTCGATAGACAACGCCCGCTGTAATTCACAGTGAAAAAGAGCAATTATTTATGTCCATAGACAAAATGATGGTGGACGCTTATAAAAACTATGGTGCCCACGGCGTTTTTCAGCCCAACATCCGCACTCGCAATACTTTGTACACTGCTTGTTTTCATTTTTTTCACTAACCAAAACGTAACTATGTTTTGAGACAACTTCCAAGGAACTTGTTTCTGTAGGTTTATTGGTGCAGTATTGGATTCAAAGCTGTCATGACTTGCATGATTTTACTGCCCAGAAAACATGCGTCTTGTAGGAGCATGTCACACGCAGCTAATTAACATTGTCCATATACTGTACATAAGAAGTGACAACTGGCAAGATGATTGAGTTTGCAGTTACGTCATGTCGTCCATCTTGAGGTGCTGCACACATGAGGGATCTCACGAATAACCATTTGTTTTTACACTTTTTTGCAGGAGTACACGCCGTCTATTGCCCATATCTCAACATGGGCCGTGCAGGGGGCGTTGAAATAGAGGGCATAAAATTTAGCAGTGTGACGCGACGGCCAGTGCAGCAGGACCCCATCTTGGAAGAGTATCGCTTTGTACCATACCAGGACAACGATGTCGCAAGGTCTAGAAAAGAACACTTCGTGCGACAATACGCAGATGTGTGTGGTTGTACCTTGCTGCACGTCCTGAAAAACTTTGAAGTAAACAGCAATTTTTCCGAAATGGGGACTCACTGTTGTGAGTTACCAGAAGATATTCAGAGTCGGTACACTGAGAACATTCAATCAAACCATGGCTTGCTAGGACTACTGCTTAACGTGCGCAAAGATGTCAATGGTGCTGAATCCCTGGCTTCTACCGTGAAATCAGCAATACTGACCAACAGAACAAGTTTGGAGGCGGACTTACTCAACATCAGTCTACTCGGAGAAAACCCACTGAGGTTCCTGCTTGACGTAGTGGTTGAAAATACAAGCTTCACAAAACTCACTGTGCTGGAGGTGGCGGTCGACGGAGACGTTCAACTTATGATTCCATGGGTGAGCGATTCGCTTTCGTTGTACGATGGGAAGCTGAAAACAACGTACTACGTCAGCCACCCAAATCCAGACAGCCTCCCTCTGGATCAACTCCCCAAAGGGGCATCCGTACTTGCACGGCACCATTCTGCTTCAGATGAAAAGTTGCCTCAAGCTGACTTGTTGTTAGCTTTCTTCGGCATTATGACCACACTTGCCGACCTCTCTGCATTGGCTCAAGAAATGTTCTCGCAGTGCAAGGAAGGCGGTTTTGTTCTTATCTCCCACCGCACTACATTGACAGTGGCCGAAGCCTTACTGTCAAAAATCAGTGGGGTTCCTTTTCAAGTTTATTCAGAAGAGGCAACTAGAGCAGTCTTTGAAACTTGTGGATTTCGATTAGTGGGTCTGAAGTCGAACAACCTCTTTGTGCTGCTATTGCTTAGGAAGATGACCTTACCCGTCGATGTTTCCAGGCAGGTGGTTATCAAGATAGAAAACAGCAACTTCAGCTGGGTTAAGACGCTGAAAGAGAAAGTCGCTGAATACGTCGGCAGGTCCGCCAGAGGTAACATCTGGCTGCTCAGTGAAGATGCCGGTACCAGTGGTGTCCTGGGTCTGACAAACTGCCTTTTACAAGAGACTGGTGCACGTCTCGTAAGGTATGTGTGTATTCAGTAGTGTACGCCGTTTCTCTCACAGGTACCCTGTCACAAAAAAAAAGTCGCCGCAAAATTATCAACTGTAATGTGAGTGCCTTGAACGGAACTAATAGGCAAGTTGATTAGTTAAAACTGGATATGCAAGACTAGTTAAAATAAAATACTTGTTTTTATAGCTTTCTTTTGCTGATTCAATCAGCAAAAACGTAGTGCCCAGCAACACTCGCGCCTTTGGCAGGGAGTCACTGTGGCAGGCGCCTTGTGGACAGCAATGAGGTGAAATCTCTCCAGCTTTGCATGTTTTGCCTACGTACTGATTGAAACTTCTTCTTGAATGGCATGCTGGAGTACTGCCACAGATTTTAAGAGCAGATTTTTGTCAAATAACTCCAAAAGTATCTATGGATATTTTCCATACAGCGCGTCAAGTGCTCCGTGAAGAGAATACTTCCTAACAGAAAAAAACATTAAATTCGCGTACCATTATGTTTTAGTTGGGCTAACTGGTACATTTCAATTCAAGTCGAATACCGCGGAGAAGATAAACACAACATGATGAACACAAATTTGAGGTATGGATGCAAAGCATAATCAAAAAACAAACAAGATGCTCAACATGTGTGCAAGTCTAGCTTATTGATAAAGGCAAGCAGCTGTCTGTCAAGAAGCTCACAATATTTTTGGTGAAAAATAGTTGTCTCAAGCAATTTTATTGTAAATCGCGTGCATAACCTGGGTGTACCTTTTTATTTCTCAAATAAGCGATAAGTTCACACTGTGTACTCGCATTTGTGATATATTGTGTTCTGTATGAACACAACATATTGTATATTCCAAGCGTAGTGAACCACTCGTGCTTGGTGAAAACAGACAGTGAGTGCTCTGAATAGCACAGCCAAATCTTTCAGTCATACACGGCCAGGAGCATTTAGAGGTGTAGCACGAAGTCAATATTTTTCGGGTACACTATTTTTAAACAGATACTTGCTCTCTTCTGAGCTTTCGACACCTTCAGTTCCAGGTCGCGCAGTTTATGGCGTGCTTATAGAAGCGGCGTTTAGATTAGATGCATTTCTTGCTACCAGATGCCGCCACACACTGGTGTCGAGCTTTGTAGCCTGCTGAAATTGCACAGTTAAGCCCACTAACACGCTGGAATAAAAGTGGAAAAAGAAAATCAATTTTTATGACGAGCCCTTAAGGTCCTAATACGCGGTGACGCAACTTCTTTATTCTAGGCCATTTTTCACTGCGTAACTCACAGCATTGTCGACAGGACGAGAGAAGAAAGGAAACGCTTCAAGCGTAAGACCGATCCTGTATCTCTGTTATTTTTGGACGATACCGGCGAAGTTGTATGGAAGCTCATGCATGAGACAATAAACTCTGATGAGGACGCTAGAAGGATGAGGACGCTAGAAGGAGGGTCGTTCAATTGTTATTTGGGAAAGTGGTTCAGGATCGCTTTAAATACTCTTCAGAAAGCCATGGAAGGGATCCACTGAAGAAGCTTAATGACACATCAAATCAGCCCCGCAAAAATTGTGAAAAGTTGTCTGGTATACGAGTGGAGTTACAACAGAGATTTGTTGCGCGTTGCAATCGCTTTCTTTCTTTTCTCGTGTTGGTGGAAGTGCTGTGCGCTAAACGGGAAGGGATTTCAGGGCCACAGAAAACCGTCACGCGTGCCTGGTGACCTTGAGCACTTTTCTTTTTTTTTCTTTGAACGCGCGTCTTTTCAGTGCGATCGCGCTTGCATTCGTGCCGAAGTTGTAGCTTCCCGCGGCGTCCCCAATAATGACTGAGTGTGCCATACTCAGATCAGGCGATGGCTGATTCTAGGCCTTCTTCGTTATGATTTTGAGCCTATAGCGTCATTTGTCGAGAGAAGCCAAAGTGATTTTTAGTACTTTGAGAATGTACTGTATATTCTACGCTGCGTGCTGCGCTATAATATTTGCCACGCGCGTTCTCTGGCGCCTCCACTGCGGATCGGCATTGTTTGCTGACCATGCTTAAAAATTGTTGCAGAGCCTCTTTAAGTGCACACCCAGATTATTTAACCGCGCTAGCTGATCGCCCTCAAAACTCAGCAAGTATTCCCATTCGTTTACTACTTGGCAATAACCACAGCAAGCGGAACGTATCGCTGGAAGTCTAGCTAATATTGTAAGTCTCGTCAGCGCCCACGCTCGATAAGCCTTTTGAGCACACGCCTTTGAGAAGAAAATCCTACTAGAGTGTATGCCTGTCTGACTATAAGTTCGTATACACTATATTTCTTTCTCATTCTTCTCCCAGGTGTGTATTCGACGCCTCCGGAAGTGGTGGAAACAGTGTAGCCGACTTTAGCCCCACCAACCCAGCCTATAAGGATATCGTAGAAAATGGCCTAGTGATGAACGTGTATCGCGATGGACAGTGGGGCTCCTTCCGGCATCGCAAGATCGATTGGTGTGAGTGGTTCAGGTTCGGTATTTTATGCGCCGATAATATTAGCATTACATATCTTGCGAGCGTTTCGTATCTTTTACTATTAATACGATGTTACCGAGACTTCCGTGAAAACACCACACTGAAGAAGCATTGTCATCGCATTGCTGCTAACGTATTAAGCATTGCTCTTCCTCTAAAGGCTATTCATTAACAATTTAGTAGTTCTGATACGCTGAAATTGAGGTACTCGAAGCACCACTGTTGTAACTTGCCGCCTCCTACACTATTCACTTGAACAGGTGAGTTTGCTTTTTTTATCGCGACCTAAGTGCGACTTTGCGTCTGGGGGCGCAACAAATATACCTTTGAGCTCATCAGAAAAGTCTTAAACTAATGCGTGTGGTTTTACAAACCACGTGCACATGCATGTACGTGATAAGGAATTATATACACAGGTAATCCAGGACAGGATTGCAACTGAGTGATTACAAATCTTGGAGATTAGCCAGATTAGAAACGGACTCACTGATTTCAATGCGATTTCTTAGAACGACCAATGTTAATATATCGCATAGCGTAGATAAATGTGTTATTTTTTTCTATCTTCGCTCTCCTTGAATTTGCCGCATTATTTGTTGTCAGTGGCTAACTTAAATTACACGAGGCCATTAGTGAGTTAAATATATGAGTTGGGGCCGCGTATAGCGCTTCATAAGTGTTCAAAGTCATTAAACGCGATGAGCTGAGCTGGTGCGATGATATACGAAGGCCTCCTCTGCGATAAAGACCGTCGTGCACAGCTACCAATGAATACGCCGTACATAGCATCCCTTGACAGTGTAAAGCCATGGGGTATAGAAAGAAAGATATCAATATAATATCTACGGTTTTACGTCCCGAAACCACGATACGATTATGAGAGATGTCGCAGTGCAGGGCTCCGGAAATTCTGACCATCTGGTGTTTTTTAACGTGCGCTAACAACCCACAGCACATGGGCCTCAACGATTTCGCCTCCACTGAAATGCGATTGCCATGGCCGACATTGAATCCGCGACCTTCGCAGCAGCAAAGCGCTTTAGCCACCAACCCGCCCTGACCGACAAAAGAGAGGGAGAGGGAGAAAAAATAGGATGGAAAGAAAGATGGTGGTGGTGGTGGTGGTGGTGGTGGTGGTGGTGGTGGTGGTGGCGGCGGTGGCGGTATTGTTGCAGCAGGCGAGGTTAGCCTGGCCTGCATGGCCAGCAATTGTTCCGCCAGAGCATCTCCTGAATTCGTAAATTGTCACCACGTGTCACAAAGCCCAGTGTCTCGCAGAAATACCAACAAAATTAGTTGCACGTTCCTCCTAGTGGCCGTGCGTCCTTCAGGAAAAATGACGTCATCAACTGTCCGGTGCCTATGACAGCTTTTTTGCAAGGTGCCGATCATCGCTGCTCTTTGCTCATCAAACTGTGGTCAAAGCCAAATGAAATGTTCATTATCCCCGATGTCACCGCAGAAGGCACAAAACGGGGAAGCTTATCTCCCAGTCTTGAATGACCTGGCTGGGGTGTATGCGGAGCCGGTTCTTATGCGGTACAACAGCATAGCTTGTTCACGAGAAAGTCCATGAATTACACATGCTTGTTGTGGAAACTTGTAGATCACCTTAAAACGATTGCGTATAACATCCTTGCTGTTCTGGTAAGTCTTGGGAGTACTTACTTTTGGAACAGATGTCCGTGATTCCCATGCAAAGGCATCAGTCGTTTCATTGCCTATAATGCCAAAGTGGGATGGGATCCACTTAAACTATATGATAAAACTCTTACTTGAACTGGTATAGCGCATTACGGGGAAGAAGAAACGGCCGAGCAGACCGACACAAGAGGACAGAGCGCTAACTTCCAACTGAACTTTATTGTCAAATTGCATCAAATAAGTAGACTGGCGCAGGCATACAAAACCACCCTAACGCAACGACAAGATAACACACAACATCACACCGTCACATATCACACATTCATAGGCGGTTACCCTGATTAAGGAAGGCCATTTCATGTTCAGATAAACCCAAAGAAGGGGCGCTAATACACGTGCTGCCAGCTCTTGCTATACAATGCGCTTCTATAATTTCTCGAGTTAATTGTGACGGGTTCTTTTTTATCACTTCACACTGGTCAAACATGGGGGTACATCCACAATCGCGGCAGTGAATTCCAATGTGGCCCTGGATTGCTTTGTGAGCATTAAAATGGTGCTCTTTTAGCCTTTCATTAAGGCATCGCCCCGTTTGGCCGAAATACCACATACCACATGAGAATGGAATTGCGTAAACAACCCCCACTACACACGGCACAAACCGAGTTTTGTGCTTAGTTGCGCAACCAGTGGTGTGTGATTTGAGAGGGTTGACAGCTTTGCAAAGCCGCTGTAACTTATCCGGCGCTGAAAACACCACTTTGACGCTGCATTTCTCCCCTATCTTTTTTAGCCGGTGGGAAATGTCATGCACGTAGGGTAAAACTACGGGTCTTTTTTGGTCGTTAGATTCCGGCTGGGCCTCGGAGTTGCATCCTTTCTTTATCTGTTTTAATAGCTTTTCAGCTATAGATGCCAGTAGGATAGCTGGGTACCCAGCACTCAAAAGCCTTTCAGCTTGAGCAGCAAAGCTGCGATGCATGACATGATGACACGATTTCCTAAGAGGATTGATGAGAGAAAGATTTGTGATGCTGCGCTTAACTAACTTGGAATGGGAAGAGTCATAGGGTAAAAGGGGTTTTCCATTTCTAGGTTCAAATAGCCAGCACACATGGTCAGGTGAAAGAATTAAATTCAAATCTAAAAAGCGTAAGCGATTGTCAACTGGCAACTCATGAGTCAATAAAAGCGGTTTAAAACATTCCTTAAAAGTCATTACAATACCGTCGGTTAGGTGCTGGCAAGCAGCGTCGCTGCAGTCAATGAAAATTAAAAAGTCGTCTACGTAACGACATATTTTGGTGACAAAGTTTTGGTCCAGCATGCTCATCAGCAAGCGGTCATGATAAGCAAGGTATATGTCACTAAGGATCGGGGCGAGGCATGACCCGATGCAGACACCACTATTCTGTATGTATGTACGATCATTAAAAGATACAAACGTCGACTTGATGTAAAAGGACAGAAGCTCTAAGAGGTTACTGTTATGGACACCCGTGAGATTCTGGAAGGCTACACCACCAAATGAGTCAATGGCATTGTTAACGCACTGTAACAACTTCTCATGCGGCAAAGAGTAATACAAATCTTTTATATCGACCGAAAAAGCTTTTAAGCCCCTGTCGTTATGTTCCAGAAAGTTGACCAAAATGTCCGAATTTCTAATTAAAAATGGGTCATCGATGGTGAGCAAATTGGGTTTTTCTTGCAGAAATAATGCCACAGTTTTTTGCCATGTTCCTCTCTCTGTCACAATTACCCGCAGAGGGCAATCGACCTTGTGTGTTTTGGCCGTAAAGAACACATCAAGGCTAAGCTTTTTGCACTTATCCACTGCTTTGGAAAGTTTTTCGAAACCCAAGGTGGCACACAGTTTTTTTGCCTGTGATTTAACTTTGCTGAGGGAAGTGTCATCCTCAGCTCTAAAGACGGAGTGAACAGCTGTGGTCGCTTTCTCAATAAATAAAAGGTTCGTTACGTAGACGACTTTTTAATTTTCATTGACTGCAGCGACGCTGCTTGCCTAGCACCTAACCGACGGTATTGTAATGACTTTTAAGGAATGTTTTAAACCGCTTTTATTGACTCATGAGTTGCCAGTTGACAATCGCTTACGCTTTTTAGATTTGAATTTAATTCTTTCACCTGACCATGTGTGCTGGCTATTCGAACCTAGAAATGGAAAACCCCTTTTACCCTATGACTCTTCCCATTCCAAGTTAGTTAAGCGCAGCATCACAAATCTTTCTCTCATCAATCCTCTTAGGAAATCGTGTCATCATGTCATGCATCGCAGCTTTGCTGCTCAAGCTGAAAGGCTTTTGAGTGCTGGGTACCCAGCTATCCTACTGGCATCTATAGCTGAAAAGCTATTAAAACAGATAAAGAAAGGATGCAACTCCGAGGCCCAGCCGGAATCTAACGACCGAAAAAGACCCGTAGTTTTACCCTACGTGCATGACATTTCCCACCGGCTAAAAAAGATAGGGGAGAAATGCAGCGTCAAAGTGGTGTTTTCAGCGCCGGATAAGTTACAGCGGCTTTGCAAAGCTGTCAACCCTCTCAAATGACACACCACTGGTTGCGCAATTAAGCACAAAACTCGGTTTGTGCCGTGTGTAGTGGGGGTTGTTTACGCAATTCCATTCTCATGTGGTATGTGGTATTTCGGCCAAACGGGGCGATGCCTTAATGAAAGGCTAAAAGAACACCATTATAATGCTCACATAGCAATCCAGGGCAACATTGGAATTCACTGCCGCGATTGTGGATGTACCCCCATGTTTGACCAGGGTGAAGTGATGAAAAAGCACCCGTCACAATTAACTCGAGAAATTATAGAAGCGCATTGTATAGCAAGAGCTGGCAGCACGTGTATTAGCGCCCCTTCTTTGGGTTTATCTGAACATGAAATGGCCTTCCTTAATCAGGGTAACCGCCTATGAATGTGTGATATGTGACGGTGTGATGTTGTGTGTTATCTTGTCGTTGCGTTAGGGTGGTTTTGTATGCTTGCGCGAGTCTACTTATTTGATGCAATTTGACCATAAAGCTCAGTTGGAAGTTAGCGCTCTGTCCTCTTGTGTCGGCCTGCTCGGCCGTTTCTTCTTCCGCGTAATGCGCTATACCAGTTCAAGTACGACGAACCAACTCGGCCCAATCTTCAACACTCGTTGAATTCATAAAACTCTTGCCAATTAGGTGTTTAATTAGTGCCAGAGATTTCCTGGTGAACTTTTGTTGAGGTAGGCTACGATGCAGTCTTTGTAGCACCGATTTGGAGTCCGTGAGCACTACAAAATCTCCTGCAGAAAAGGATTGCAATTTTCGCAAA